AACATTTTATTTTAACATTTTATATAAACCGCGTGGAGCGGTTTATATAGTGTCATATAAGGAACCGCTTGACCAATCAGATTGCTGGAAACTCTTTGCTCAGCTCTGAAATTAAATATCTATATTATATACTAATTGTGAATTGTAGCCAGCACTGTTAAAAAGTGCTCAATACACATTTGTGTAGAGCGGTATATAGCTAGACACTTAATGCTCTATGTTGTATATATAGATATATTTTTTTTGTCATGTTTCAGCTCAGCATTAGATTCTAACACAGGAGATAAGGTTGCTATCAAAAAACTGAGCAGACCATTTCAAAATGTGACTCATGCCAAGAGAGCATTCCGAGAACTGGTGCTGTTGAAGATGGTCAATCATAAGAATGTAAGTTTGATTAAAAAAGAAAACCATAAGTCAACTGCAATACAGGGTTGGACACTGAGAATAAATTGGACTTTAGTTCTAATAGCTAGAAAAAATAGAAAGTACAACTTTCTACAACTGATAGTTAGCACACCTTGTATGATGGTTTGACATGTAATGTTTTGCAAGTTGCATTATTCTTCTGCAAGTTCCATATGGGCGAGGAAAAGTATATGCAATGAGCAAATTGTCGGTTGTATTACCGTAAAAGCCCACGTATGAGCCACACTTTTTTCCCAAAAAGCATCACTAGAAAGTGGGGTTGTGACTTATTTACGGGAACATTTTAAAAAGGTGTCGTGAATGTTCACACCAATTTTCGTTTTTGTGTTCAATCTAATGCCTGGTTACTAAGCTTCAAATGTTCTGCTCATGTTCTTGTTGTAATGCAAAAATTTTTGGAAAAACTGTGTTGAATGAAGAAATTCCTGTCAATAAATACCAGAAAAGGACCGATCATTTGTCAAAGGTGGTAGAAGCAACGTTCATTATATTGAAGTGCTAAAATTATGGGTAAGATTTGGAGGTGTTTTCTGTTGTAATGTTAATATTGAGTTTATGTTCAATGAAGAGTGGATGAAGAAGACTTCTCAAGACTTGATTTTGGATTTCTTTTTATTTCTTTAAAAAACTTTCCAAAATTTGAGCTGCTAAATTCAGGGTGCAGCTTATCTGCAGGTGCAGCTTATTTCCAGCTTTTATGGTATATGTTAAATCAGCAATTAAGGGATTTAGTATTCCACTATAATCATAGTTTAGTTTTAAGTGTGTTGGCTTCCAGTTTTTGAAATACATTTACAAGATCAAAATACATACTATGACCCAATATGGTTCATTAAGTCAGTTATTGTGACATTTAGGAAGAAACAGTTTTTGCCTTCACTGTGAAAGGCGCATTTCACTGTTTTGGGTTACTGACAGTCTTCTGTGTTTTTGTTGGTAGATTATTGGTCTCCTCAATGTATTCACACCGGACAGGTCATATGAAGAGTTTCAGGATCTGTGAGTAAATATGTGCTTTTAAAATATTACATGCACTTTACAACATTGGTTGATAATTAATATCATTAATATTATTTAGAACTATTAGACTCAAATGATTTTGCAGTCTTAAGATGGTCCTCACTGCTATACACTAAATAGTAACAGTAATTGTGACAATGATAATGATGTTGTTGTAATGGGCAAAAAAGTGGATTTTCATTGAAATTCAGGCTTGGAAGAAACTATAACTTTTAACTGAAAGAAAGAATACCTGTCTACTTTTTGTCACAAATGTGTTTCCTCCTATTTGGTCATCAGATATCTAGTCACAGAATTGATGGATGCCAGTCTTGTCCAAGTCATTCAAATGGACTTGGATCATGAAAGGCTCTCGTATCTTATGTACCAGATGTTGTGCGGTGTAAAGGTGAGATTCACACACTAAAACCACTAAACCCATGAATGGATGAAAGTTGAAGTCCAGCACTTCTTGTTGAAACTATTTGACACATACTGGCTAAAAAATTGCAGTCTATTGCAGATGAACTTGCACAAAATTGTCCACTTTGTTTTGGTGGGTCACTCTGTATCTAACACTCGAGTCACCCACATTTAAACTCCTTTAGCTTACTTATATATGTGAGTCAGATTCTTGAGTTCTTGGTATCCAGGTGGTGTCATGGCAATTAATGGGGGAACTTCCATCATAATATGGGGCAGTTATGAAGTGACTAAGAGAATCTCAGAGTGAGATATTCACTTAGAATTTGGATGTTACATGTACATCAAATTTTGTTAGTGTGGGGGAAAACCAAAGTCAAGATATTTGCAGATTACTAAGTACATTGTAGTCTCAAAAATGATCACACAGTGCCCGTCATTTCTTTTCTTTTAGCACCTTCATGATGCAGGCATCATTCACAGGGTAAGTTCTTTGATAACAGGTCACTCTCCTAAAAAAAAAAAATAATAAAAAATAAAAAATGGAGACCTAGTGGCTTAAACAAATATTCAGTGCCCACTAAAACAAATCACATGAATTGATCAATAATGATATCTTATTAACAGCAAGTAAATTATTCCTGGTGAAGAATAACTGAACTGGTGAAAAAGGAATTTTTAAAATCAATATTAAAAAATAGACCTCTGACATTTTCAGGACCTAAAGCCGAGTAACATTGTAGTCAAGTCAGATTGTTCACTGAAGGTAAGTTGAAAGCTGATACAGAGGAACCTCGATTGAACGAGCCTCTATGTAACAAAGCTCTTTGTATAATGGACAATACTTCAGTTTCAGCGCCGCTTAGGTTTTGGCAAAATGTATACCACAGAACCTCGATATAACAAACCCTTGATATAAGGAATCAATTTCCCCAGTCCCTTGGCACTTCATTAAATCAAGGTTACACTGTAGTTAGAAAAGGTATCTTTGTAACCACAGGATGGTAAATGGTTTTAGTGAACTGACTGAATGTATATGTGCACACATTTGTACTGTTACAGTAAAAGAAAAGGGAAAAAAAAAACAATGAAATTGTATATTTAATTTAAGGCAATGTAGTGATGAACTTTTGTAGATTCCTAATGTTTTGTCTTAAATATTCATCAGATACTTGACTTTGGTTTGGCGCGCACTGCTGGTGCAGCTTTCATGATGACTCCATATGTAGTGACACGGTACTACAGGGCTCCAGAAGTGATCTTAGGAATGGGTTACAGTGAGAATGTGGATGTGTGGTCTGTTGGCTGTATATTGGGTGAGATGATTCGTGGAAGTGTTATGTTTCCTGGAACTGATCGTATCTTTTTAACCATAATTGTATATTTTTTTGTTAAAGTGTTGTGTAACTTTGAAATAGGGTTGTACGTGTATTTGATCCTTTCAAAACTTAGAAGGATCATTGCTACCTGTAGATTTTTAAATGGTAGATGATAGAGTGGTGACGGGTAGTTTTCATTTGTTTGGCTCTAAGTCAAGTTATGTTATTTGTACACGATCTGAAGCTAGAGTGGGGTGAAATTTTTGCCTTACATGAGATTTTAGTTGACACTTTATAACCTTTTGAACTTTCCACAATTTTCTACTATGAAGGTTGTGTTAATTTGAGCTCAAGACATGTTAAGCTGTTGTTCCTGGGAAAATCACTATACTCTCATGTTGCCTAACCACCCCCCGATTAGCTCAATTGGTTAGAGCACTGGATTGTGTTGTGNGTGGAAACTGGGTACAAGTCTCTTCATGCTGTGGAAACTAGGTTAAGCTCTACCTGGCTGGGACACTTGGCTTGAGTACAGACTTAACCTACCTATTTACATTAGGTAGGTTATACTGAATTTTCCCTTCATCTCCTTATATCCCACTTCAAGTTTAGGAGATCTGTGTACATTTAGATTGCATTGTTTCCTGTCCTCCCAGCACTTTCTACAGTGCAGATGCCATATAATTGGTTTATGTGGTTGACAACTTACAGTGTACAAGTGCTATATAAATTAACATCATGTTGCTAGACTCCTTTACCAGTTGGTTTAGACATTGATCAGTGGAATAAGGTCACTGAGCTTCTTGGCACACCGTCGGAGTCCTTCCTCAGCCAGCTACAACCATCAGTAAGTTTGTCTATAGTTTTTCATTACATAGAATGCTTAGATTTAGCATATCTTGTCTCCATTTACTAGTTCCAAGTGTCTCCTGTGATTTTCTTGTGAATATCTTTTAAAGGAACACTTAACAAATGATGAATACCACAGCATACACTACTGAGTTATGGATGCATGTTGGAGGTTTCTAAGCAAAAAAGAAGGGTAAGAGTCTTGTGAGGCGATAGCTAAGAGCGACTCTAGCTTCTTGAGTGCTTAACAAACTTCCCAAATGCACCATAACTCAATAGTGTATGCTGTGCTGTGTACTATTTGTTTTATGACATAACATTGATGCATTGTTGCAAGAATTCCCTTTTATGTAACAAATCCTATATGAACAAAAAAAAACAATAATCACATGAAAACTAGTCTTTGTGGTTGCTCATATCAGCATCATATACCCATGGACAAATAGTAGACAAGGAATTGACCAATCAGAGCTAGTGCTTTACTTTGGTTATGTTACAAAACAGCTTGTGACATGAGCTGTGAACAGTGGTTGCCAAATTGGTGACTTTTAATCAGTTCCCAAAACTTTTTTCCTCTTGCCAAGGTAAAAACTCATTTAAATGATTGGTTTGGCTCGTTACACCATGTATTTTTCACGAGTCAGAGTAAATCAGTTAAAAAAACGATGATAAGGAAATTTGATTTGAGCAACGTGGCCCATCTACATGTATGAGCTTGGTGGTCGTTCCTAGTTTCTTGTAGCTGCACCTTTTTTTGTACAAAAAAAAATCTAGAGGGAGGAAAACCAAGATACCGTGATAGAACCTTACTAGAATTGGCTAATGTGGCTTGTAGATATGATGAGGTATTAGTAGAGGCTGGCCCTGACTGCTGCAATGAGTTCTGATTCTGGTTTTTTTCTTTAGGTGAGAATGTACTGTTCAAGTCGTCCCAAGCAACCTGGATTCAGTTTTGAGGATCTTTTCCCAGATGATTTGTTTCCACCAGGGAACAAGACTAAAGGTGAATCTTCAACAATATCCAGTTGAGCTCGATATTTTCCTTCGGCTGTTGTGATTACTTTGGTTTTCGTTTTACTGCGCCATTGAAAAGTGCTCAAACAGGGAAGCCTTCCAGAAAAGGCTGCATTTTCCATGTGGATTGAAGAAAAACTTGTCAAGAATCCAGTCAGATTTCTCTCATTTTCTACTCATTGATTTCGTGTTTGTGGCTGGTTGATATTTCAGCTGACGAATGTCGTGATCTGTTGTCTAAGATGCTGGTTGTTGACAGGTCTCAACGGATATCGGTCATTGAAGCTTTGCACCATCCTTATATTCATGTTTGGTATGAGAGAAGTGAAGTGGAGTCGGTTAGTATTGATCAGCACTGTAAAGCAAATGTTTTTTTTGTTTGTTTTTTTTATGAGGAAGCAGACTTAGGGATGCATGACCATCACGCTAGAATGAAGAACATTATCAATAGAATGTATTGATCGCTTAAAGAATGTTGTCTTGATGTAACACCAAGTATTCAAGACTAGTCAACAAAGACATGTCTGGAAGTTAATCCAAAGAATGAACTCTTAAATCATGGTAGTGAAATGATGAAGTGTTGTGGCTAATCTGGGATGAAAGGCGGAGGGCTCTAACAAAGCAGGGTACGTGATACCCCCCCC